TTAAGATACGTTAGTACACATAATCAGACATTGAGTATACAATAGTGATTATATAATGAATTAGTCGGATTCCAGTAGCAGTTCGTAAATCAAAAAATTAGTTTTATTTTGTGATAGATCCATATTATTGTAAAACGAATGTGTATAGAAGAAAAGACGGAGAAGGATTAAATATAAAACTTTGGTATACGTAATCTAATAAATGAACTACCACTGCAATTCACCATATTAATAAAATAGTTTATTGAATTTATTAATTTAAATCATTGTATTGATGTAAAAGTAAAATTATCTTGATTAGCTCAGTAGTGTCATGATATTTCACGAAAGATGACGTTTTACACTAAAAAAATTTGCATTATATCCTTCAAATAAATTGTAACGCATTTTCTCCAGATTGTCTATTTTATCTTCTATATTTTATTTTTACTGTTGGTAAATACAGTAACACATTGTAAATATTAATATAAATTCAAATACAATAAATATAAATATATTGGCGTAAACTATCAATGCAATTAATAATAAAATTTTTTTTTTTTAAATATTTGTTTAAAAAATTTATTACATCCTTAAGTAATTGATTTCATACTAAATTTAATACTTCTTATGTCGTAGTATTCTATTGATATCTCTACGTATATTACAAATTTAAAAGAAAAATTAAACATTCGAGTTTCTTCATTAGTTCAATTTATTAATTAATAAAAGCCACGCATTACCGAGATAGAGATGATAAGAAATTGAGTCTTAAGGAGAAAAGATTAAACATTGTCGATAAATCATATTATTTGCATTTTCCAACCTATATAATAAAACAATAATATTTATTCAATTGCTATAACTTTAGTTAAATAGCAATATAAAGATTGAGAATTATGATTCGATTTGTTGCATGGAAATACGCCTTAACTTTACGTTTATAAAACACGGGAAATGAAAGTTTTACGGTGAAAACTGATTTTTTAATAGTGGAAACCCTGACCATGGCCAATTCTTATTCTCTGGTAATCAAAAAGATTTTTAATATTTGTAAATTTATATAAAATAATTAATTTTTTTTAGTTTGTTTTTAATTTAGACTTACACTTTAGATGAAATTAGATTAGCTTTCTTATGTACGTGATAAGGTTATAGACATTATCAGGGTAATTCTCATTGAAAATAATGAAGAATGCAAGAATAAAATTACCGCGTATTTTTAAAATAGAATTATTCACATTCGTTTATTAAACATTAAATCACTATATTAATTGTTATATATTAGTATTTATAAATAATACTTATAATAAAATTATTAATTTATAAATAATTCTTATTGCTATAATATTTGTAAGACATTTAATAACAAATACAATTTGAATAACGAATTGTTAGAACTTTTTTTATAATTATAAAACATAATACGTTTATTATTTTTTTAATATTACTATATTATTATAATAAATTAAATAATTTTATTATTCAATCAATCGAATATTTTCTATCTGCTTATTGTATATAATTATGTAATGGCGTATTTGTTTAATAACTTTAATAGTATTTACGTAATTAAAAGATCGCTATTTATTATAATACTTTATTATTATTATTATTATTATTATTATTATTATTATTATTATTATTATTATTGTTATCGAACGTTTTTATTATTTAACATTATAGTGTGTAAGATTTATATATAATTATGGAATGTTAGATAATTAAATTTTATCCATAAATGAAAAATAGCAAAATAATTTTATAATATTAAAATTTTACACATTAACTCGTCGATTATTACGTATTAATAAACTGTACGTAGCAAATTAATATAATTGGTAATATAAAGGCAATGCATTTCAGCTAGAAATCTGTGTAGATTCTCTTGAATCTATTCAAAATGCACTAGAGGGTGGTGCCGACCGTCTCGAATTATGCAATGCCTTATCAGAAGGTGGACTAACGCCTAGCTTCGGGCTAGCGAGACTAGCCAAGAGAATTTCGACAATTCCAGTTTTTGCAATGATTCGAATCCGAGGAGGTGATTTTGTTTATGAGTCGGATGAGCTGGGTAAAAAATCATTTCTATTTGTTGGATTAATTTTTGGTTTTACCGGCTGTAAGTCATAATTACAATACAATGTATTGACTAGCCTCCCAAATAATAATAATAATAATATCATTTCATGAAAGTTAATCATTATTACTACTAATGAAATACATAAATTAACGGCTAGCAGAAATTTATTTTATTTTCTGGTTTAATAATAGAGGATGGTAATCTAACTTACTTTGCTTACAATCATTAACTTTAAATGACAATATTTACATTAAACTTAATAGCATACTTAATTTTTTGGTCTAACGGTAAATATCTTCTAATGTGATTGAACTTATAATATATAAAATCTATGCAGTGAAATAAGATTAATGAAAATGGAATATACGAATAAAATGATATTTAAGAATATTAATAATTTGTTCGAGCACGTTACATGAACAACCTTACAATAATTGAATGATACGTAATATATGAAAATGATTATGAAAATAATTTTACTCTGCTAACGAGAAGTATTCTTTTTGGAAATAGATGCTATGCTGGAAGATTTGAAATTATTGAAGACCATTGGCATTGACGGCTTCGTCTTCGGTGCTCTCACCAACACAAGACAACTCGATATCCCTGCTTGCAAGAAGATCATCGAGGCATCAGATCCACTTCCAGTCACCTTTCATCGAGCTTTCGATGACGTAGACGATCCAATGCAAGCCCTAGACAAGATCCACGAGCTTGGCTTTTCGAGAATTTTAACATCGGGTCAGAGCAAGTCGGCCGTCGAAGGTGTCGACTTAATTGCAAAATTGATCGAACAGGCGAACTATAAAATTATTATTATGCCTGGCGCTGGGATTAACGAAAGTAACATTCTGAGTATAAAAGTTAAGTCAAGTGCGACAGAATTCCATGGCTCGGCCAAGAAGATAAAAAAAGACGTTGATTTTAGGATCGGTAATAGCAATGGTCTTGGGGTCACTAATGCTGAAACTGTGAAATTGATGGTAAAGGCTTTAAAGGGAGGACCGTGAAATTGACTTTACAAATATATGACAGTAAATTAAATTTATTTTACTGTAATGAAATTGGAAATATTACAAATTTATGAAGGGGACATGCCTTTTTCAAATGACGGCGAATTTAACTTCAACCTAACTAAAATAGTCTATCTATATTAATAAAGCAATCAAAAGCATGAATTTTATATTTCGTAACTCAATATTAATAATATTATACAATTTTAAAAGGCTTTCATAAACTATATTGAATTTTTCAGTTAATTTTATAATTAATATATATATATGTATATTATACGCGAAGCATAACTCTACTGCAAATACAATAACAATGTTTTTTAACAGTTTTATAGGCAAAGAAAATAAAATACTGGTATTGAAATAGAATTAAATTGATTAATATTTCTAACTAAATTTGTATAAACAAAAAATTTTAAAATTGATTCGAATTCACATGAACTTGTGATTTTAAATCATTACTGTTTAGCCCTTTCAATTATTCTTATAATTAATTAACACTTTAATACATTAATTAACTTATAATTAATAAACTATTAATAATAACAATAATAATAAAAACAATAATAATAATACCAATAATAACAACAATAATAATAATAATAACAATAATAATAATAATAATAATAATAATAATAATAACAATAACAATAACAATAACAATAATAATAATTAATATAACAATAATGATAAATATTATTTTCTTAAAATATATCTATATTGTTAAGTGTATTAATTTTTATTAAGTAAAATTTTATTACTCATAGCATTATTAACAATTTTTTATTTCAGTATTATACGTATTATATGCTTCTATATGCTCATTAAACAAAAGTTAGATATTTATAAAAGCTAAAAGTTAGTATACTATTTATTATTAAAATTCAAAGTGTATCAAAATAATTTGTTGTTAATATTAATCTACAAATATATGAAAATTGATATAAATATTTTTAATAATGAAAAATAACAGTTAATAATTCGTAAACTTAATGCAATAATCACCGTTACAATCAATCAACGTATCTTATTAATAATCAATTGTCAATTCATCATATCGAACACATATATGTTGTTTATTTATCAATTATTTTAAATGAATAATATTAAAAATATGGCTATAAACTAACAATTTATAAAATTCTGTATGGTGTCATGAAACTCGTATTTATAGAATAAAATTAATAAATAACACATACGATTGTATCTTAATGAAAATTTTTCTCATATATTTGTAATTAATAAATAAATTAAAGTATATTCTTTAGAGGTTAAAAACAGAAAAAATAATAAAAACTATCTCAAATTTTTTATAAATATTTACAAATTTTGCATGAAAAAAACGAAACAGATAAAATATCTATAAATAATATACCTGAATAAAGATGAAATCTAAAGCTTGAAATGATGTTAAATATTATACATCTAACTTTACTATCAATACGGATAATTAAAGGAACTTTTAACGTATAATTATGTGATGATATGTTTGTAGAATTTTAAAAGTTAAAATAATATTAAATCTAAAAAAAATGCCTACAAAAATGAATGTATTTTTATCGAGGAGTTAGACATAATTTGCTCACACCAGGCTATAGCTGGTTATTTGCATATATAAATGTAGCTGCCCTACGCTAAAAATATTTCTTCCCGAAGAATAAATAAATTAGGCATATCAAAGTAAAATATCAATCGATTGAGACTCACAATCTTGTTCGGAAATTTTCTCATCACTCAGTATTTGGCTGTTGATTCTCAAACTCGTATGACAATAAGAATAAATATATAAATGACATTATGAAAGAATGTTATGGTATGTTTTTCCATCCTATCGAACGAAATGTTTTCGAATGAATTAATTGTGGCCTAAAGAATAATTATTCTCGTAATGCTTTTAAAAATCTTTGACTATAACAAAATTTTGTCCTATTCATAATTAATTAATACTAACAAGAGAGTGAAGAAATATATAAAGGACAAGATGAAAGTTTTGAAAATGTATTTCAATATATTAACGTGCTTTGGCTTTTGGATACCAATATTTTGGACATATAAATGGTGCGGAAAACTACATAATTTTATTTGCGTTTTTCTCATTCTACTGCCATATTGGTTAGCTTTTGGCCAAATAACACGAATTTTATTTGATGTAAAAAACTTGGATGAAATGACGGAAACATTGTTTATTTTATTGACTACCATCAACGTTTGTTGTAAAGGTGCTAATTTCCTTCTACACCGTGAAGAAATAATCGACCTCATGAAATTGTTAACCCTGGACTGGGCTAAACCACATAATATACAGGAATTAGATATATATAATTCCTGTAATAACATCATCAGGTCAACTTTTGATTATACTTCTTAATGTAACAGTACGCAGGTGTCGAAATATTGACATACTGGTTGTATCTTTGTTTAATCAATTTTTATTGTCAATAATATGAGTGGAGGAGAGGCATTTTAAATTTGTAAACTTGAACGGCATAATTCTTAATTCTTACTAATTGTCAGTATGATTGATTTAAAAATAAGATAACAATTTATTATGAAAGTACGATAGAAAGTATTAGAAGCTGAAAAACGAAAAACTATTACGTAATTTTATAAAATCTTTCCTAAATAAAAATGAAAAAAAATTGCTTCGTAACGATGTAACAATGTGCCATCTATGTAAGACAGGTTTACATCACTTTTATGACAATTATTATTATACATTTAAGATAATGATAAATTCTCTAATTTTACTATTAATTTGTAATTATTGTCTCCTCAATGTTACGAAAATGCTCTCAAATTAATCTATTTCCAGGCGTATTCTCATCAATTGGAAAGTTTTTTAATTCTTAAGTATCTTAATATGTTTCTCAAGTAAAGCATTACGGCTATATGCAATCTACTTAGCTTTTTAATAATTTATGTATATTCTGCTAGTTCTTCCAGTTACGTTCCATCAATTTAAAATCTTTTTTAAATAAAATTTTGAAATGATACGCTTTTATGATTAGTAATTATGACAAGTAATTCTAAAAGTAAAATACAATAATCCTTGAAGAAAAGAAAAAAAAATGAATTCATAATTATTGCCTTTCATTTCATTAAATATGTAGATGTCTTTATTGTACATTAATAGTCATAATTTTATTAGAAAAAAAAAAAAAAAAAAAAAAAAAATTAAGTTTATATAATAAAAAAGAACACCATTATATATTTCAACGATTAAGCATAATAAATAATCGTATTGTTATGATATGATGGAATCAACGTAATTTACAAAATATATCTATAATGTCTTGTATAAATAATTGTCTTTATCATTTCGTTACATTATTGAAATCGCATTAAAATTTAATAATCACTCAGTGATGATTTTTATACTTTAATGCACGTAATCGTCGCTCATATGACCTTAAAAGGTGCGGCGCGCATAGAAATATTATTCTCGCGTGTATAATCATTTGAAAATTTATAAGTTATATAATATATAATATAATTTTTATAACCAACAATCAATAATTGTTTTTGAACATGGATATTCGGCCTCAATGCATAATGACATACCTGCCTCGTACTGCCGCGAATGATGATATGAATGAACAACGGCAGCTCTATTTTTAATAGAAAAAACAACAACAAGGAAATAGAAGGATTTAGAAAAGCTTTTACGTACAGAAAAATTTGTCTCTACGTACAACCGCCCTATTCGAGATAATCAAGCAACTCTCGGTAATTATAGGCGATGAGAGAAATCGGGCACATTGAGGCAACAAATAGACCAACTCTAAGTTATTCTTTATATTATATACTGTAGCCATGGAATATTTGTTATTATATAAATGTTATTATAAATAATAGATTATTCGAACGAGAATTTCAATCAAAATCGGTCTCAATAGCTTTATAATAATGATAAATGATTCTCTCATATCGTAAATATTGGTTCAAACTTATTGGGAAAAATATCAATGTAATGAGAATATTAGATTCTCTCTTACCTATTGTATTCGTCGCTTTATCTCGAGTGATTATCATTTGCAAGATACTTTTAAAAAGACTTCTCAGCTAAAACACTTGTCTAATTACTAAGAAATCAAAAAATAGATAAATGAGTAACACTTTCATTTAAAATAATATACATATTGAATTATTGAATACTTATATATAATATGATAATATGCAGGATGGTCGGATTGATTGATCTTGTCCTAGGCGAATCAACATTGTTCTTCGGACTAATTGCCCCAATTTTTGATGATAAGAGGCAATATACCTTGCCTGCTCAAGTCTGGCTGCCCTACAATTATACGACGTCACCAATAATATACTGGTTAACTTATATTATGAATTCCGTCTGTGCAATATCTATAGCCAATCTGTCGGTTGTCATGGACGTTATTATCTATGGGTTTATGTTAATCACTGGTTGTCTAATCGATTTACTCGATAACCGGCTCGTTCATTTAGAAAAAAATATGAAACATTATAGCACGGAGCATCCCGTTACTTCAACAAGTGTAAATCAAGAGGCGCGACTTCTAAAGCAAATTATTCACAATCATATTTTCATATACGAGTTAGTATAATCTTACGGCATTACAGGCACTTTCGAGATAAATAAAATCGATTTTTTATATCTAGAAGAATATTGATTATTTTTCTAGATACAAACAAAACAAATCAATATTATATTTATTCATATAACAATAATAGTTAATATTCAAGTTAAAAGTGGTGTACATAAATTATCAAAAAAATTAAAATTTAAAATTATTTACACAATGTATATATTTATATTTTTGATTATTAATAGAACGAATGAGTAATCGTGGATAAATAATTTCAACATAACATATTATAAAAGAAAGTTATTTTTGAAAAATCGATTTTTTTTTCTCCAGATTCTATAATGTATACATATTTCTAACGAATAACTTTGCTTAAAGGATATTAATGTTTTACTATAAACGATAATAAAAATCATTTCATTAAAAATAGATGGATTAGTTGATTTTTTTTTTTTTTTTTTTTTTAATATATATGAGAATAACAGTTATAGGGAAAAATCATAAAACGATTAATTAAAAAATTGATTTATCAATTAATTGACAAATTGCATTTAATTAATAGATTTGCTGATAAATTTATAAGGATATTTAGTTTATCAATATGCTCACAATTCGTAGTTAGCTCCGTAGCCCTTTCGGTGAGTATTTATCAACTGAGTGCCGATACTTCAACCACCAATCCTGACTTTTATATGAAACTGCTGTATCTATGTACTATGATGACACAATTATATTTATTTTGCTGGTTCGGAAACGAATTGACGCTCAAAGTAAGTGCACATACACAAAATTAATTCAATTTGTTTTTTTGGTGCAACAATTAATTGTACAATAGATTGTGGTTGTATAAATTCGTATCTAATTCAATGTGTGACAATATTTCAATCCAACATTTGGTATTCCATGCTTAAAAATCAATGTATTAAAAATATTTACTGTTTTAGAGCCAAGAATTAGGAAGATCCATATTTAAATGCAATTGGACTTTGTTTCATATAGAATCTGTCAAAAGCCTTTTGTTAATATCAATTCGTTCAACAAAACCAATCGTCATATCCTGTGGATGTTGCATAACATTTACCTTAGATACTTTCAGCAAGGTTGGTATTTTTTTATTTTTTTTTTTTAATTTATTTAAATATTTGATAAGATTATTTTTCATTTTCAAATCATATATGAATTATGAATTATTCAGATTCTAAAGGTTTCTTATACAGCCTTCAATGTACTCAGAGATTCAGCGTGAACTTCAAAATTATTTTGAGGGCTTTGATAACGCGCATATATAATTAATTTCTTAACATTCAATTATATTTTTAATACAATCAGTATTTCGCATTTCTCTTATATATTTTATAATACATATTTATATAATTATTAAGTAAATATAATAGATTTATATATATATATATATATATATATATGATCTACGAAAATTATTGTTAATTAAATATTGCTGTATCACATAATATCGATTAATATAATTGTTAAATAAAAATAATCACGTCCAAGTCAAATAGAATATTGTAACATAAATATAACATACGCAATAAGAAATAAAATGTAAGTTTAAAAGATTATGCGTTATTATTAATATTATTAAAAGACAATGTGAAATTTTATTTAAGAATAGAATGGAAGTAGGAGTGGTAGCTCGAAATTTCATAAGTATTATGTTGAAATGAAAATTAACTCCCTATAAAAATTAAGAAATTGTTTTTGTAGAAATTGTTTAAATAATTCTTAATATTTTTTATTTGTTTCAATATTGCAACATGTTTTTACAATTTAAATGTTATGCGAAAATTTCTAAGTACTCGGATTTTACTGACAATCTAGCGATCACAATTATTTTAAAAGCAACGAGCATTCGGTACGAAATGATTCTACTTATAATATTTTACGTACCGCGCAGGCACATGCGTGTTCAATCACATACGTAATAGAATATAAAGCTCCATGCATAATGCATAATTTTATAATAAGCGTAATTCATCGCTTACGTAAATGTAGGAAGGGGTTGAAAAATAAAAAAAAATGAGGAAAACTTCTGCCACTTGCTTTATATGCTTCAATCGTATAGAACTGCAAGAATAGAAAGCAATAAATTTTAATTATTTTCAACATATAATAATTTATTTTGAAAATATATTCGTAAAAAAGTCATTAAAATCTTTTATCATTTTTCATTAATAAAGAGAAAAAAAAAAGTTAATAACGATTGAGTGATTTTTTAAAAAAATTAACAGACAAAAATAAATCACATACAAAGTATTATATTATAAAAAAGCAAATATGAAAGCTGATTCAATCGCATTCTTGGTAGGAACGGCTACAGGACTTTGGTTCCCAAGACATTGTAAATCAACTTTGGCAAAAAAATTATACACAGTTTATACGTACATCTCGTTTACTCAAATTATCTTGGTTCTAATAACGCAATGTATCTTTTTGCTGTATTACGTAAAGAATATCTATGATTTTACTGAAACTTCGTTTATGATGATCACAATCGTATGTGCCGTCATCAAGGCAATTAATTTTCTTCGGCATAGAACGCTCATAATACACTTATGTGAAATACTAATAATGAATGACTTCAAGCCGCAATCTAATCGAGAGAAGAATCTGTGTTCTCATTATAATAAACTATCGAGGTCTTTTGAATTCAAGATAATTTTTATTATTTATTTACTTTGATTTTCGTTAATAATAAAATTAGAGCACTCACAATTATTATAACTAAAGTGAAGAAATTATAAGTGAAAATAATACAAATATAATTATATTTTATAATATATTAGACCGTTAATATATTTTAATGATTCGTTGCTTAAATAAGCCAATTTTTTATTCTTACGCAATACTATATCTTGTTTTAATTTGAAATTCTTTGCAAATGAAAGTTATTTATTATATTTAAATTCTTGAATGTAAATAATTAATTCTTATATTAATCAAAATTCTTATATGGTCCATAAAGTCATTTAAAGAATTATATCACTGTAGAAGTACGAGAAACTATATTTTTCCTCGAATATTGGTTTATTATCTTGTAAATTAGCATTAATTTGTTTTACATGCAAATAAAGTTTTTGAGTGAAACTTTAAAAACAGCGTGGCCGAATGTAATTCTGTTCTGTATTATATTATGGATATGAAAATATCAAGATGACAGTATATGATAACTTTTCGTTACCGACAAATACACCGATAAATAATCGAAATAATTAACAGAAATTATTGTTCATCGATCCTCATACTATTCTATAAAAAAAAAAAAAAGAAAAAAGAGCGAAATACTAAAAATACTATAAAAAAAAAAAGAAAAAAAAATTGAAAATTAAATATACACAATTTAAATTATGAATTTTTTTATCGATTTAATAATTTTGTATTATATGCCTACAATTTCTTAAATAATATTTTTTATAAATTATGATACGAATATGACTTATATGGCCTATTCCTTAATAGGAACTTATATTTCACTTTATTATTAATTAAAAAAAAACTATGTGACATAACTGATATATGCAGTAGTCTAAATTTATAAAATCAATGTGACTGGATATGACAATGATGTTAATACTATTATTATATTATAAAAATTGTAGCAAACCTGAGAAATCATATGTAAGGTACATCAGCTATCTAGTTTTTAAATACCTTACTATATCACAGTCACATACTCTATAAACTTGAAAAAAGAAAGACGAGTAAGATATCAACCTAAGAGTGTGCCAATACAATTCTAAAATTTAAAGGTAAAAAATTTAATTTTACATTTACTCTTTATAGAATTAGGAAACCTCTTTTCAGAATTAATCGAAATAGTATTGTTCTGCGCATCTCTCTCACGGCATTTTCTAATAAATTGATGTCAAATGTCAATAATATGCTCCAAATAGGATTAAGAATTGAGACAGAATATTTTTTGCAAATTGACATATTTTTTATAAAATAATCAATTTTTTTTTAAATCAATTTAATTTAAAAAAAAAAAGAAGAAAAAACTCAATAATCGTTGTAATTAAAATATATCATGAAGTTATCAGATATTTATGTTCAAAACAATATTTTAACAATGTTCTATACAAATTTTTTTATTTCCTTTTAAGTTGATAATTACAGATAGATTAAATTATTCAGTTTCACATTTTAAACAAAACTTTTGCTTAAAATTGAATTTGTCAGCATCATCGAAGAAAATCTTAAAAATTAAGTTATTTAGATTGTTAATGTGTTTATATATCTGTATATGTATCTATATATGTGTAATGTACGTATATCTATATATAATGCATATACAGAATTAAATAAAAATATTTTTTTTTTGCAGTATAAAATTAAATTATTAATTTTAAACCTTTTATTCGGCCTACTACAGTGGTGTAACCCTTTATTATACAAAATGTAGTAGAAATAATTGTATTTTAATATATTACGCGTCGATATTAATTTTGTTAATATATGAATATATTGCATAATCTAGAAATTTGGAATTATTTTGCATGGTAGTTGGTAGTATAACTGCAGTATCCATATCGGCATGGCCCCTGATAGCTGCAAAATATGAACTGGATTTACCAATGAAAGCATGGGTTCCTTTTGATATAAAAATTAGCAAGAATTACTTATTTGCCTATATACATCAGAGCATGTCAATATTAATGGTTGCTTGTTACCATTTCACCGTTGATCTTCTAATGAAGGATTTAATATACTACACATCCGTACAATTAGATTTCGTAATTTATAGATTACAAGATCTTTCTGTGAAAACTTCAGAAGCTATCAAAGCTAATATCCCAATGAATGAGATACGAATAATGGAAAAAAAATTCATATCTCGATGTGTTCAACATCACATTATGATTTACGCGTAAGAGATAAAACTATTATTAATTTTATTCTAAAATATTTTAAATATAATCATATCTTAAACTTATTTTTATACTTAAGAGAAAGAAAGAAAGAAAAAAAAAAAAAAGAAACACATAAAAAAATTATATTACCTAACAATCTCAGTTTAACTTCAAATACCTATTGAAAAAAATTGATTCATAATGGTTTACAAAAATAAATGTCTTTTATTATTAATGATATTCTATATTATAAATATTCTTACAACTTGTAATTATATGATTAAGGTTTGAAAAATATCTACATGGTTTATTTATTTGAAAATTATCATAATTAATTGAATATTTTATTCAAAAGTAAAAATTCATATCTATTTAGATTGTCGCTGTTAATAAAAACTCGGAAAATAATAATCAAATTAATTAATTTCAGTAGCGTTAAATTAGTTAATAATCATAATGTCTAATAGTTAAGTATTTTACTAAATGTATATATATATATATATATATATATATATATATGTAATACATTCGAAACATTTATGAAAAAAAGGTTTTTGTCGATTCACCAAGTTTTAGTGTTAAAGAATAAACCGAAAAGACTCTTAGAATTGAATATTGATCGAAACGTTTTAATTATTACCTTAGATATGCTGAAAAACTAAATGAAGTTTTGTTCCCAATAATTCTCACGCAGTTTACAACAAGTTTTTCGATATTGTGCGTGACTGGTTATTTACTAATCAAGTCATCCATATTAGAAACTCTTCGTTTCATTAGTTATGTAATAGCTATGTTGGTTGAAATTTTCATTTATAATTGGTATGCCAATGAAGTTTCAACGAAGGTTCAATCTTACTTTAAATAAAATTTATATACATAATTGCAGAGGATTTAAGTATATAAATAAAATATGAATAAATTTATTTTTCAGAGTCTGGATTTTAATTTATGTATTTCTGAAATAAATTGGACTGCCATGCATGTTCAAAGTATGAAAGAAATAACAATTATGATGATTCGCTCGACATCGCCAATAGTTTTTTCATGCGGTTCATTAATTCAATTATCTTTGACGAGTTTCATGAAAGTAATTTGAGTTTTAATTTAAATTTTATGTATTTTAACTTAACATTAATAGACTTATACTTTTATAGATATTAAAAATATCATACTCAGCTATTAATCTTCTTATATCATCATGAATTCTTTCAAAATGTTCTTATGAAGCATTGACAATTAATACTATTATGTACGATCAAAATACCTAAGGTGCGGATAGATGCTGCACGTTAACAAAAAAAATTTCTATATGAGTATTGACTATAAATAGTAAATATGCATTGCATATAAATGGTTGGAAATAATTTATTAAATTTGAAATTTTATAAAATTTTAATTATTTCAATCTCCAATTATTTAATCTTCAATGATGTATTTGAGTTTAGTTTAAAATAATTGACCACAATTTAACAAAACAAGCATGAAATCAACCATTAACAATTTAAAAAAATTAATTCAGAATACATGCGAGATGGTACTACATCATTAATAATAATTACATACTTGTCTATTAATGTTATTTAATCGCATTTATTCGCATTATTTATGAAAATATAAATTTATTTGTTCAATTTGTGAGATGCATATAATTAAATGATACTTAATAAAATTTTCTCTCATTTTCTATATTATCAACTAATGTGTTTTATGAATAATATCTGGCATTAAATAAGTGTACTTTAATAAATATTTTTATGATTCGAAATACATTATATTTTATTATTTGAATTAATATGAATTTCAATATGCTTTTATTATAAATAAATTATAATAAATTTTTATTCTCATGTGCATGTTATATAAATTTAAAAATATTTAAACTATAATAATTTTATAAAAAATTTTATTACTTAATTTTACCACTTCATTAATTAGCCAAATCTTTCTATTCTTATGTATTTAGTTTGAAAAGATAGTTTAATCTATCACTTATTTTCTATGCTTAAGAAAATTGAAAGTACAGTGTATAAATACCGACTGAATTAATTAAAAAAAAAATCCAGAAATATAAGAATAAATTAATTAAAAAAAAAAAAAAAAAAAGAATTATGTTAAATATTATGTTTTCCGAAAAAAACATAAAACATACAAAAACATAAAACATAAAAATTAGTTTTATAATTTTTCTAATAATCGGACTATTTTTATAAAAAACTTACTGTTTCATAATATATATTTTTAATTCAATAAGCCATTTTCTCGCACAATAGAATAGTTTGAATATTTTTAGGTAAGTTGAGTAATAATAAACATTAACTCTTAAAAATATCTTGATAATAGAAAACCAATGCAATCACTGTAATTGATAAATGTTTAATAATAACTATATATATATATATATATATATATGGTTTTTAAGCTTTTATTATGAAAAAAGAAAAAAAATTATAATAATGATTGCAACGCTAACAGTATACATATATACATATAATTATTACCTTTACTTTAAATAATTATTAAGAGCAATATGTATATATATATATATATATATATATGTGTGTGTGT